GCCGAGGCGGGTGGATCACGAGGTCAAGAGATCGAGACCATCCTGGTGAACACGGTGAAACCCCGTCTCTACTAAAGATACAAAAAAATTAGCTGGGCATGGTGGCGCGTGCCTGTCATCCCAGCTACTCAGGAGGCTGAGGCAGGAGAATTGCTTGAACCCCGGAGGCGGAGGTTGCGGTGAGCCGAGATCGCGCCATTGCACTCCAGCCTGGGTAACAAGAGCGAAACTCCGTCTCAAAAAAAAAAAAAAAAAAAAAAAAAGACATTTGGTAGAGGGTAATGACTTTTCCCAAATTTGGAAAAAATGTAGAGGATTTGGCAAGCAACTGTTTTGGGGGAATCAAATTTATAGTTTTGTTGTGATGATGCCCCATAGGTTTTCAAGTAGAAATGCGGAGGAGGGAGGTAGCTACCAGTCTGGACTTCGGAAGAGAAGTTGTGGATGACAATGGATGTTTAGGGGGAGTCATTAATATACAGATGGGATTTCAAGTTAGAGGAACACATTACCTAGGATGACTGCATTGAGGTAAATCGATGAGGAGGGTCTAGAATTGAGCCTTGGGGTACACCAACATTTAAAAGTCAGAAAAGAGCCAGTCAAGGAAATTGAGAAAGGTCACTGAGGCAGAAGAAAACCAAACACGTATGATATCTCCAAGGGAATTATATGTTTTAAAATAAAGGGGTGTGGACAACTGAGTCATGGATGCTTAGGGGCCTAAGATTCCCATCATTATCAGATAAGCATATATGACTTACATTTATCCCACTGGATTCATAGGGAAGCACCAAATATCTGAAATTGCAGTGCAGTAACATGGCAAAGGATGTCACTGTTGTCCTTGGTTAAGAGTAGTCCCAGTGCAGTAATCAAGATATGAACCCATTTAGAATGGATTCTGGAGAAAATGTGAAATGAGGAAGAGAAATAAACTGGAAGTGACCCTTGAGTTTGCTGTCAAGGAGAGCAGAGAAATTGGTTGTAAAGTTCAGGAGGATGTGTGTGGTACAAGAAGTTTTTAAGTTTTCAGTTAGTAGATTAGAGAACATATGAATATGCTGATGGCAAAAACACAAAAAAGAAAATTTGATGATAAAGACAGACCATTTCCATTTCTTCTACTCAATTTCTACTGATTTCTATTAATGCTTTATCTTTCCTGTTTTTTTTTTTTTGCTTTTTAACACTATAAACATGCTGTGGTCAGTCAGGTTTCTACCAGATAAATAGGACTCAAAATAGATCATAGACTTAAACGTAAAAGACAAAACTATTAAACTCCTAGAAAATAACAGGAGAAAATCTAGATGACCTTGGGTTTGGCACCCTGTTGTTTTGACCTTACAAATGGTTATCAAAAAATTCTGAGGGGTGAGCTCCATTTGCACTGGCCTTGTAGGCACCTGCTTCCCTTTTGAGGGTGCCCCACTTGACCTCTGAGTGGCTGGTGGGGACAGGGAGTGATAGCAGCAAGGAATGTAGCAATCAAGGAGGTACCTGCCTCAGCAGCACCTGGTCTTGCAAGGTGCCGTCGGGACTCAGGCAGGTGCGGTTGCCATATCACAGGTTACGCTTAGCTGACTTGATCCTTTCGTCCTGCTTCTCCTTTATCAACACAGCAAAGCCCAGCATTTTATCATCTTTTCTGACTTCACTAGGAAGGAATTGCTGCTGCCTAAGAGTCCGGTATTCTGTGGCTCTTTCATCAGTGAGATGGAGGTAGAGTTGCATCGTACTGGCCAGCTAACTCTGGCTGGAGACCAGAACTTTGCAACTGATGCCCAATACAGGCCAGACGACTATCAAGACCCCATGTAACAAGAGCAGCATATATAGCTCAAGGGACAACATGCCCTTGAGTAGTGGCCCGTCACCACGGGCCTGAGTGGAGAAAGAGTGACTTCTGTTCCATAGTGAAACATTCTCATTACAGTGAAAACTGCCCTCCAGGAGCTGCCGGGGAGCCTGAAGGTTCAGAGTCATCTGTATTCACCAGAATTTCTGGAGAGTCCCCAAGGCAACACCTGACAACAGCAATACTAAGTTGCACAAAGCAGCAAAATCTAAAACCAGCAAGCAGTAATGCCATCCCAGACGGACCAGGCTTGATATAGGAAGTTAGTGATCCATCCACATGGACGCACATTGGGAAGTGTTTTCTTTGTGGTAAGTGTCCCGTAACTTAAAGCAAAACAAAAAACTCGGTTTCTTGAACCCACAGTATGTCATAATGCAATGGGCATTGAGACTCCGCAATGAAAACTCCTAGTGAGAAAAAGAAAAATGAAGAGGATGCAGCAGGTACTGTTCTACTGCTGTTAACCAAGGCCAGTGAAAAAGAATAGTAAGAATCCCCTATCCTGGCAGTGGAGGAAGTCTCTTAATTGGCCCATCTGAAAGTCTTGCTTCTCCTCTCTAGAGATTGTATACTGTTGTTCTTGGCTCCTGGCTTTTCCCTCTTGCCTTTTATCCTTGTTCCTTCTTTTCTTTTCTCTCTCTCTCTCTTCCTTTCCTTTCCTCTCCTCTTTCCCTCTCTCTCCTGTCTCTTTCTGTCTCCCAGGCCAGAGTGCAGTGGCACATTCTCAGCTTACTGCACCCTCCACCTCCCAGGTTCAAATGATTCTTCCTCAGCCTCCCAAGTAGCTAAAATTACAGGTGTGCACCACCATGCCTGGATAATTTTTGTGCTTTTAATAGAGACAGTATTTCACCATGTTGCTCAGGCTGATCTCGAACTCCTGACCTCAAGTGATCCATCCACCTTGGTCTCCCAAAGTGCTGGGATTACAGGCATGAGCCACCGTGCCCAGCCTAGTTCCTTATTTTCTATGGCTACGTTAGTTGGGCATTTAAGAGTATAAACCTCCTGTGAACTTCAAAGCATTTTTAGGAGTCAAACATGCAAATAAAATGCACAAACTACTCTGCCTTGGAAATGCAAATAACTTTAGGGGAGACAGTAAGGAAAGGGAGAAGGAAATTAACTGAGTAAAGCAGTGGGGTGAGTGAGAACGTTGATAACAGGACTGCCTGATATGCATGTTGAGTAGTGTTGTTTGCCATTGCATCAGGCAAGTATGTTATACAGTACAGAAATGACAATTTCTGAATGTTTATGCAGAAAGCAAGGTAAAGGGCTGAGTTATGAATTATTTATTTAAATACAAAGTCATTAGGCAATGGTTAGCCAGAGTGTTTTACATAAGCAGAAACTCAGAATTAGAAATGTTTGTGGAATTGTAAGCCGGCTGGGAATTTACAAATACTGTGAACATGAAGATGGGAATTTACTAGACCTGACCTGATTCATATTATGAGGGCTGGAGATAATTTGGACTGGACATTAAGTGATGTTATTGTTTATCAATGCCGTAAACATTTATTGAATGCCTATCATATATCAGACACTGTCTTACATGCAGGAGATTGAAATCCATCAGCAAACAATATAGATCAAAATCTTTACCCTCAGATAGCTTACATTCTCATTACTTGAAAGAAACATATCAAGTACCATACAATTACACTGTTTCATGACAGTAAGTGAAACCACAATTGCAAAGATTTTGACAGTGAGAGAAATCTAACATGACTGACTTTTTCCTGCTTTTAGCCTCGAAGGTTGTCTGTCTTTTCTCACTCCTGTCTGTAGGCTAAGATAAGCAGGTGAAGAATTTAGTTTATAGTTTAACATGGAAGCCAGGATGATAGTAGGCCTTCCCTAACTAACACCCTCCTTGCTCTGGGACTGAAAAGTAATGAAAGGCCCTGAGATTAGGATTAATTCAAGGGGTCTGAATTCTGCTAAAATGTAGGATTATAGGTTCTATAATCCCTTGCTCCCCAGGTGTCATGTGGCCAGAGACCCCTGGGCAGGAAGGGCCAAGATTTGTGACTTTCCCAATTACTTCTATAGGTAACACCTCTATTGTAGAACCTAAAGATTAGTCTTTTGAGATGTTTTTCAGACTTGCATTCTAGCAATGACTCATGACTCAAGTGGTCCTGTAACCCCCTCACTCCAAGGCAGACTCAGTGCATCATGAGGATCACTTCCCACTTTCCTATGATTGCCTCCTCAACCAGTCAGCAGCAGCCATTCGCTCCTCGCCACCAAACTGTCTTTGAAAAACCATAACCTCTCAGCTGTGAGGAAACTGATTTTAATGATAACTTCAGTACCTCCATGGGACCAGCATCATATTAATTACATTCTTTCTTTACTGCAATACCACAGTTTCACTGAACTGGTTTTGTCTGTGCAGCAGGCACGAAGAACCCATTGGGTGATTACATAAGCTTGGTAGTTGGGATGAAATAGCCAAATTCCTTGAATTTGAAAATCGCAGTTTACCAAAAGTGACCAATGTGAAAAAGAAAACTGCCAGGTCGCCGGGCGCGGTGGCTCAAGCCTGTAATCCCAGCACTTTGGGAGGCCGAGGCGGGTGGATCATGAGGTCGAGAGTTCGAGACCATCCTGGTCGACATGGTGAAACCCCGTCTCTACTAAAAATACAAAAAATCAGCTGGGCATGGTGGCGTGTGCCTGTAATCCCAGCTACTCAGGAGGCTGAGGCAGGAGAATTGCCTGAACCCAGGAGGCGGAGGTTGCGGTGAGCCGAGATCGCGCCATTGCACTCCAGCCTGGGTAACGAGAGTGAAACTCCGCCTCAAAAAAAAAAAAAAGAAAACTGCCAGGTCTAATAATTGTTAAAGAAATGGAACCTGTATTTAAAAGCCTTCTCAAAAAGCAAACCCAAGATCCAGTTGGCTTGACTAGCAAATTTTTCTAAATGTTCAAAAAAGATAAAATACCTGAGGATAGAATCAGAAAATCACTTCCAGACTCCTTTCAGGAAAATGTAAGTTTGATGTAAAAGCTAACAAGGACAGTAGAGAAAAGTGAAATATAACAGAGCCATCTCTACATGAACATAAATACAGAAATTCTAAACAAATCTGTGAGACAGACGATAAATGTTGAAAAGCCATCATGAGCAAGCATGGTTTATTTCAGAAATGCAAGGGTAGTTTAACATATAAATTCATCTAATTTGTAATCATGTGAATGAAGGAATAAAAATATGATTATGTTAATATTTATAGAAACTTCATTTAATAAAATTCAATATTCATTTATGATTTAAAGAATAAAAGAAAACTCTTAACTAAGAAGAAAACTTTATAGTCTAACTTTAAAAGGAGAAAGCTCCAGGAAGCCTACAGCAAACATTTTCCTTAATGGTAAAATAAAGTTTGTTTTTTTCCAAAAAAAAAAAAAACCCACTATCTCATCTGAGCCTTACAAATCCCCCTACTTTTTCTCTCCTCTTGTACTCTTTTCCCACTTCCACTTAGGATATAGGCTGAGGTCCAGAATGAAAAATGACACCTACAGTGGCCTCATTGTCTACTTCTTACCCTTAAATCATGGGGTACAGAAGTATTTTCCCTGAGGAAATACTTGAGCCACTCACCCTGGAATGCCTCAATGTGACCAAGGTTAAATGAAGTTAGGACTGGGATTAGGGTATCTGGTATTAAAATGTATGTTGGTTTTAGCCCATGGTTTCTGCTTCATAACGACCGCAGGCTTTGCTACAGTCCTATGTTATTATGTTGGATACATTAGACCTCAGGAAACAGAATCTCTCTCCTCTCCTTCATCTACCCCAAATCAGGACTTTAATCTTCCCCCACCTGTCTAATTATGGCACTTAAGACTCTCCCCAGAGAGGGTCCTATAGTACGCACTAGGGGAAAGAATGCCGACATCATGAAGCTTCCATAAAAACCCAAGAGGACTGGACTTGGAGAGCTTCATGATAGGTGAACACATGGAGGTTCCTGGAGGGTGGTGCACTCAGGGAGCACATGGACCCTGCATCTTCGTTCTCCCATACCTTGCCCTGTGTGCCTCTTCATCTATATCCTTTGTAGTGTCTTGTATAATAAATAAGCAAGCCTAAATAAACGTTTTGCTGAGTTCCATGAGCCACTCTAGCAATTAAATCATTTCTCTGAGTTCCGTGAGCCACTCTACCCCCGAAGAGGGGGTGGTGGGAACCCCAAATTGAAGCTGGTTGGTCAGAAATTTCAGAAGCCTGGATTTGTGACTTGTGTCTCTACTGGAGGAGCAGCCTTTTGGAATGAGCCCTTATACCTGTGGGATCCAATACTAGCTCCAGGTAGATAGTGTTGAAATTTAACTGTAGGACACCCAGCTGGTGTCTACTGCTTGGTTGTAGGGAAAACCCCCTACACATTTGGTACAGAAGTCTTATGTTGATGATGGTGGTGGTGGAATGAGAGTAGAAGAAACGCAGGGTAGAAAGAGAGCTCAAGAGTACCGCCAACCTCACACTGCTTGTAACTCTGTCTCCTCAGGAGGTGAAGCAGGATTGGCGTTTCTGTCGCTACTCTTGGCTAAGTCAGGGCCCTCACTCAAGGCCCTCTCCAAAGTAGTGGGCAAGGAGTGAATCAGTCTTTCTTGGACGTTACGACCCATGAAGACGTAGAGAATTGGGTTGAGGCAGCTGTTAAAAAAGGCCAGGGAAGTTGCTGGGTTAACCAGGGCAACAACGATTTTGTATTTGCCGTTGAACAGTATCTCTTTGAGCCAGACTGCCATTAGAATGCCAATTAGTTCAGAAGGGAACCAGCAGATGAAGAAAGAAGCCACCACAGCAGTGAGGACCCGTAAGGGACGGCTAGATTTAATCATACGCTTCTTGTGAATTTTGGCAGCAGTGATCCCATAGCAGACTGTGATTATGGACATGGGGATGCCGAAGCCAGTAATGAAGTGGAGGATCACATAGACCTTGACCATGTTAATGAACACGTTCAAATTCTCTGCAACAGTGTCAAGCCAGAATGCCATGTTAAAGATACAGTATGTGTCCCCATTCTCAGTACTTGTAGTCCAGAAGATGAAATTTGGTAAGGTAAAGACTATGGCAACAATCCAGAGTCCCATGATCACTCTCTTGGCCAGACTCATGGTGCGGTGGTTCGTGGTCCAGACTGGATGCAGGACACAAATACAGCGGTCCAGGGCAATGACAGTGATCAGGTAGACGCTGACATAAAGGTTGAGGTCTGCCATGACGTGAACTAACTTACATAGGAACTGGCCAAAAGGCCACTTTTCTCCAATGGCAACTGAGACCATGCGGAATGGCAGGATGGCACTGAAAGAGAAGTCAGCTAGGGCCAGGTTCAGGTAACAGATGGTGCTGACTGTGCGTTTCATCCGGAATCCAGCCACCCAGAGCACAAACCCATTGCCCAGGACCCCGAAGACAAAGCTGACTCCGTGGAATAGCAATGAGAAGATCCACAGAATGGTGTAGCCATGAGGCTCAGGGAGCACCTTCTCAGATTCATTCAGAGGGATGGAGAAGTCGGTTTCCATCTTCCTACACCTGAAACATGAAACATTTCAGCAATGGCCATTTCTCAGCTGTAGATCCATCTTACAGTACAACTATTCATTAACTTTCAGTATAGCGCCTCGCCCTACCAGGAGATCCACTCCAGTGAGCCTTGTCGATAGTCACAGCATGAAATTGGCACTCTCTCGGAGTTCCTTTGGGAAAGGTTAGTTCTCCATATTCCCACCATTATAAATATGTATTCCACCTATCAGGCCGATTACTTTACCAAGAGGATTAAAGGGCTCTGTCCAGCAGCAGAAATACCAAACTCAGAGTGTATGGACAATGGAGAATTGAGCAGAGGCTGCTTCAGTATCTTAAGGAAGGCACAAGACTCAGAGTCAGAAGGTTCACATCTGGTCTCCATCACTCAATGCAAACATGCTGGCAAGGTCTGCAGCTTCTTTCGGCTTCATGCTCTCCCAGTCTCTCAGCTCCTGTCCCTCCCACTGTGAGGACCCTTGACCTATTTTTTAGGTGATATTTAATTTAAAGTTTTAGGGTTTGGGTTGGGTTCATAGCTGAAGAGGATTTTGAACCATTACCGGTAATATGTAGACATATATTATGTGCGTGGTGGCTCATACCTATAATATCAGCACTTTAGGAGGTCGAGGCGAGTGGATCACTTGAGGTCAGGAGTTGGAGACCAACCTGGCCAACGTGGAGAAACCCTGTCTCTACTAAAAATACAAACATTAGCCGTGTTTGGTGGTGAGAGCTATAACTCTAGCTGCTTGGGAGGCTGAGGCAAGAGAATGGCTTGAACCTGGGAAGCAGAGGTTTTAGTGAGCCAAGATCGCACCACTGCACTCCAGCCTGGGCAACAGAGCAAGCCACCATCCTCCAAAAATAAATAAATAAAGCCAAAATAGATTGCATTCGATAGATTCTGTGCTAGAAGAAGTGGACAAAGAGGGCTGTGTATCTACTTTTTCCCGACTGTTTCTCATTGTCCCTGCTTGATACAAAGTTCTCTGTTTGGGATGCAGTGAATTACCATTCATGTTATATACCTTCAAGGACTGTGGGATAAACATGAATATTTAGCTAATATTTGTGGGATTCTTCTCAGAGACTATTTACTGTGTTAATTGCTACATACGGGTAGTAGTTTGGTCTACGTAATAGCTCGGCAGTGTTCATTATTTGTCGTTTCCATAAGAATGAATCAATATTGAGAGCAACTGTGAAATCTGCTGATCACTTAAATAGGAAATAGTAGACAAACATCTTTAGTTCAGCTTAGTCTGACTTCTAAGCCCTTTCTCTGTGCAACAATTTTGACAGATATTGCTGGCAACACCCCCTCCCCCAACCAAAAAACGATTCCTCATTTCTTCTCTGCAAATCAAATTGCAGTTTTGTTCAGATACTCTTTGGAGAAGGTTTCCCTCCTCCATCTTTGCGGGTATATCTTGGTTTTCTAATTTGCACTAGAATTCCTTTTGCTTTGCAAAGGATCGTTTATTGGTGGACACATGACTAAATTCAGGGTAATAACACTATGGGAAGGTATCCTGGGGTGTTTCTGGGATCGATTTCCTTGCTTTTAAGAAACAAAATCACAAAATTGTAGTCCCTGCCTCTGCAGCAGGTCACATGGGAAGCGGTTGCATCCAACTCAACCCGCAGGTCTCTGTGACCCCTGCGCCTTTGCCACTTGTCCAGATTGGCTTATACCGTGGTCTGTGGGCTTCATCACAAACATCCAAGTTATTTGTTAAAATGCGTATTCATGAACCCTCCCCCAACTCCCCACCCTGCTAGAATCTCTCTGTCTAAAAACTACAATGATTTTTATGGCCATGAAAATTAGAGCTGGGCTATCCAGCCTCTCTAAAAGTAACAGCAATTATCTAGCACTTGTTCACATCTAATACCTGTAATAACATTGTGGGGCAGCCATCATTACCCCTTTTTAGCCAGAGGGAATTCATGGCCTAAGGGTTTTAGTAGTTTTTTTCAGCATCATGTCCAGCCAATCCACAGTGCTGCATTTGAAAGGAGTTCCCCAAAGATTTCCAGGATAGGGTCCTACCCTAGTGTCATGATTTTTTCCTTCTTTCCCTTTCTCTCTTCCTTTTCTTCCTGTCATTACCAGTCACTTTCACTGAGATCTTTCATGGGACATTGTGTAATGTAGCTCAGAGTTTCTCAATCTGGGCACTACTGACATTTGGGGTTGCATAATTCTTTGTTGTGGGGGACTGTTCTGCACACAGTAGGATATTTAGCAGCACCCCTGGCCTCTATCCACCAATGCTGGTAACAACTTCCCCTCAGGAGTGATAGCTGAAAGTGTCTGTAGACATTGTCAAAGGTCCTGCGGGAGGCAAAATTCCCCCTAGCGGAGCATCACAGTTATAAAGAGCCCTGGGCTTTGGGATCAGTTAGAGCTCTACTTTTGTCTCTGGCACCTTGCCAATACGAGTTCTTGGTCAGTGACATCTCTCTGAGCCTCAGTTTTCTCCTCTGCAGAATGAGGACAGTTTTGTGGTGAAGTCTAACTTTGAGGTGAGGATTAAGTGAGATTAGACATGGATCTAGGCTAGATTGAGTGAGTCTATGACAAATGGCAACTCTTGGTCCTCACCAGGCTGTGTGCTATGTCATGGGGCTTAATCCCAGGCCATGCATTATGAAATTCGAGGTCAGGACAAGAACGACGTTCATAGGAATAGTGGCTACGACTTACTAACGTTACCCACATGCCAAGAGCTTCTCCTTTAACCCTAACAACTCCTCTCACAGCCTCTGTGGTTGGGGTGTATTAATATGTGTAAGCACAGAGCACACCCTGAGACATGGTGAATATTGACTAATCTTAGTTACAATTAGTACAACCATTGTACACATGAGGAAGTTAACTTACATTGGTTACATTAATTATTTAAAGCCCCCAGTCAGAAAGGGGTAGAACCAGAGTTGGAGCTCAACTGGACTGATTTCAACAGAATTGTATAGTTAACCCTCTCCCATTCCCTAGTTCCTCAACAGACTCAGATTTTCTCTACCCACTTTCTAAATATCCTAGAAGGTATTCAGAAGGTATGATTTATCAATAATCTCTAAGTCATTTGGAAATGTTGACACGAGAGGGAAAGATAAATGTCCAGTGACAGGTGGGGACAGGCCAAGAAGACGATGTTGTAGAATTTTGGACCCACCCTAGTTATAAAGTGGGGAAGAGAACCGTGGATCAGAGATTATGCCTCTACTGATTATGAGGGCTGCTCTTTGGTGAGGTCCCAATGTGTGTCAGCCAATGTATATTTTATTATTTCTAATTATAACATCATTGTTTTGGGACAAATATCGTTCTTGTGTAATCCATAGGAAACCACGGCTCAGCGAGGGGAAGTGACTTGCTCAGTGTCACAGTGATTGAGAGGCACATCTGGATGTATGATTACAGGTTTCAAATGGAAACTCAGCACTTCCTTGTTAGCATCTGTGCTTCTCCAGCACATGTGATTTCTCATGCCTTAAAATAACAGTCAGCCCTTCTGCTTTATCCTCAAACTAACCAACTTCCTCTGCTCTTCCACTCTCAGCGAATGGCCTTGTCTGATATTTTAATGAGAAAATGGCAACAGTTAGATGTGCATTTTTTAGCCCTTTCTCTCCTAACCCTCAATTTACCTTCCCTTGTTATTGTGAATAAAGACGACTTCTTCCCAGTGACTTCCCTCTTCACATTTGCCTTCCATTCCACTCTCTCTCATCTTCCCAAGAACTTTCCCCTGGCATTTGCCCTTCTGTTTCGTGCTGAAAACAAACCTTCAAGCTTTTATTTCTACTACATCATTCTTATTATCACATAAACATTATTCTATCCCTTCTCTTTAAAAGAAAACCAATGTTGGCCCATACTTCTTTCTAAGCTTCAACCCTATTTCTTTAACAGAGGTGTGTTCTGGAAAGAGAATTCCTAGAAAAACTTTAGAAATGGTGATCTCTAATTGCTTGCTTTTTTTTTCTTTTTTTCTCACCTCACCTGTTCTACTGAATCCATTTTATATTGACTTCAGTCCTTAGCACTCCAGCTAATGCACTCTTCTAAGGATGCATGTGTCCTCCAGGCTACCAAATCCAGTGGACCTTTCTGAGTCTTCATCCTGATGTTCCAGAGACATAGGACCCACCGGATCTCTTTCTCCTTTTTCAAACACGTTTTTTTTCCGTATTGTAAGATGTTTACACAGTCCACTCTTGGTTGTCTTTACAGCTCAATTGGGCACCTCTTTTCAGTCCAATTTATGGTGTTTTCTGCTCTAATTTTCTCTAAATTTAAGGTGTCACACACTCTATAGGTGATGCCATCCAGAATCACAGCTTAAAGTACCATCGTCTCATCTGAATTATTAGCATTGGCCTCCTTTGGAGCTCTAGTCTCATATAATCAATTGACTTCTTGATACTTCCCCAAGGGAGTCCCATAGACTCTCCACACCTAACATTGCCTAAACTAAACATTGTTTGTCCCTTCCTCCCAAACCTGCCACTCTTCCAATATTCTGTATCTACTTGGAGCTTAAATATTCAGTTATTAAAGCTCTAAATCTAGAACTCACCCTTCATTTTCCTTACCACCCAGTACAATCCAAATCCTGTTTATTCTATCTACATAACATGCTGAATGCACAGCCAGATCCATCTCCATCTCCACTACCCATGTCCATGGCCCTGTCAGGCTTGGATATTTGCGTAAACCTTGCAGAGAGCTTACTCCTTTTTCTGCTGTTCCCTAAAGTCCAGACACAGAAAAAGTATATTTGAAAAGGAAAAATAAGACAGTCGTGTCATTATTCTCAGCACTCTTCTATAGCTTCCAAGTTCCTAACTCACACTTTTCAAGCGCCCTGGGATCTGTCTTGTGTATCTCCATACCTCATCTCTGCACTCTCACCTGACACACTGTGCTGGACCCATGGTGGACTCCTTGATTCCCTGACCATGCCAGCTCCTCACCATCTCAGGGGTCTTGCTTTCTCTCTTCCTTCTGCCTACTATGATCTTCCTCTTGAGCTTTCCACACCTGGCCTCTTTCTAAATATTTATATTTTTTAGCTTAAATATTTTGTCCTCAGAGATGTCTTCTTGACCCATTTGCAAAACAGCTGCCCCAGGTCCAGCCTGTCTCACCAGATGCTTTTCTTACTTGTTCATTCATTTATTTTTTTTATCCTAAATGCTTTCTCCATTGATAGGCAAACTCCACAACTAGCACCGTCTTTCAATGCTATGTCTTAATGTGATCTGTAAACACGGGCCACGTATGTGCATTACAATTTTCAAGTAGCTGTGTGTAAACAGAGTGGGAAACATTAGAGAAATTAACATCAATAATATATTTTGTTGAATCTTACATATCAAAAAGTATATTGGCACATGTAATCAGAGTAAAAATTATTAATAAGCTAACTGGCATTCTTTTTCATACTGTCTTAGAATATCAATGCATTTTATATCTGTAGCATACTTCAGATTAAATGAGAAAAATCGCAAACACTCAAAAGCTGTATTTGGCAAGTGGATACCTCAGAGCAAGCATTCCAACAATAATTGGCAATTTTTAAATCGCCAGACCCCAACTTACCACCAGCTGGGTTCCTTTTCTTGTGGCCAGTTCCTGGCTTCCGGTTGAGCAACACCAGCTCTAACGATTTGTCAAAAGACAAAATCACGGTAAACTTAGCGTAAAGTTTATGTTGGCTTTATTTGTAATTCTAGAATTTGACAACACCGAATCCCTTAAAATGCATGTATTGATGAGTAGGACAGAGAAGTTTGGTTTTATAGGGAGAGGAGGGCTAAAGAAAGCAGAAACGAAGGATAAAAAGCTGAATGGTCATTTTAAAGTTGCTTCTTCTGCACCGGGAATAGGGAAACAATAATGATTAAAAAAAAAACCAGATTGACTGACATGGTTACTTAGGTTACTTCTTTTGGAAGGCTTAAAGCAGAGGCCTTTTCATGCCTACTGAAAGTGACCTGTTTGGGAACTTGGCTATTTTCTCTCTCTCCCTCTTTTTTTTTTTTTTTTTTTGAGATGGAATTTCGTTCTTGTTACCCAGGCTGGAGTGCAATGGCGTGATCTCGGCTCACCGCAACCTCCGCCTCCTGGGTTCAGGCAATTCTCCTGCCTCAGCCTCCTGAGTAGCTGGGATTACAGGCATGTGCCACCGTCCAGCTAATTTTTTGTATTTACGGGGTTTCACCATGTTGACCAGGGTGGTCTTGATCTTGTGACCTCGTGATCCACCCACCTCGGCCTCCCAAAGTGCTGGGATTACAGGCTTGAGCCACCGCGCCCGGCCCTCTCTCTCCCTCTTTATGAATTTCTTGGGAAGCAGGATAAACAACTTAGTTTTTGGTTTGGTGGCATAGAACCTTAGTCTGAGTGACTCTATTTTGGTTTTGTTTGTCGGGTGTAGTACGGTAGCTCAGTTTAAACCAATGTTGTCCTATGATTTTTACATGATAGCCTTCAGCAGAGCACTTTGCTGAAGGACAGTGGAGCTGGAATCAATCCAGCGACAGAAACTCAGGGTTTCTTACCATTCCCAGAAGATACCTTGGAGATGTCATGAAACTACTTGTCTTAAAAACCTATGTGTCTGAATGGTCCTTCGACTCTAACCTTCTGTGGGAGACTGGAGTTCATCTCTCCAAATAACAAGAGTCAGGGAATCTGTGAGTCCAGGCCCTTTCTTCTTCAGAGATTCAGGAAAATGAAAGAAACAGTTACCTAGGTGAGAAGAATGAGAGGAAAGGAATAAACAAAGATGTACAATTAAGCAAAAACTCACTGTTTACACACATACGTCTAACAGCATATGTGTGGGCTTTTTCCCAAACAGAGCAATTCTCCAGTTCTCTGGAGACACCACTGTCTGTCCTACAATTAAATTCAGTTCTGACGCTGGCTGGAGCTAGCATCAGATCGCACAAGTTAAAGGACTCACTCCCACAAGACTGTCCTTGCTTCAGACACCAATCCAAGTCCCATGTGGCCACCTGTACTTCTCACTGATGGGCTGTAAATCAGGGGTTCTTATAACCCCCTCCATAGGTTTGATAATTTGCTAGAATGGCAGACAATACAACAAATCAGTTTGCTTTCATTTACTGGTTTATTCTAAAGAATACAGCTTAGGACAGGCATGATGGTTCATGCCTGTTATCCCAGCACTTTGGGAGTCTGAGGTGGGTGGATTACTTGAGGCCAGGAGTTCGAGACCAGTCTGGTCAATGTGGCAAAACCCTGTCTCTGTTAAAAATATAAAAATTAACTGTGCGTGGTAGCACATGCCTGTAAACCCAGCTACTGAGGAGGCTGAGGCACGAGAATCATTTGAACCCAGGAGGCAGAGGTTGTAGTGATCTGACATCATGCCACTGTACTCCAAGCCTGGGCAACAGAATGAGACTCTGTCTTAAAAAAAAAAAAAAAAAGGAAACAAAAGAATACACCTCAAAACTAACCAAATAAAGTAGCTTCGTAGGGCAAGTATATAGCGAGGATGCGGTTAGGGTGGTACTCTTTGTAAATCCCACATTCCTAAAGTTATGATTGCTTTATTATAACTCACCTGCTATGATGTGAATGTTTGTTTCTCCCCTCCCCAGATTTGTATGGGAAATTCTAATCTCCAAGGTGATGGTATTAAAAGGTAGTGGTTTTAGTAGGTGATTATATTATGATTTTTGTGCCCTCATAATTAGGGTGAGTGCCTTCTAAGAGTCCTATAGGCACTAGTCTGTCCCTTCCACCATGTGAGGACTCATAGAAAGCACTGTCTGTGAGTAATGGCCATCAGCATATGTTGAATCTGCTAGCACCTTGACCTTGAATTTTATAGCTTCCCAGAACTGTGAGCAATAAATTTATGTTGTGTGTGTGTGTGTGTGTTTGTTTTGAGACAGAGCATCACTCTGTCACCCATGCTGGAATGCAGTGGCATGATCTTGGCCCAATGCAACCTCCACCTCCAGGGTTCAACCAAGTTCCCTACCTTAGCCTCCCTGGTAGCTGGAACTACAGGTGTGCCACCATGCCCTGCTAATTTTTATATTTTTTGGTAGAGACAGGGTTTCAGCATGTTGACCAGGCTGGTCTCAAACACCTGACCTCAGGTTATTCACCCGCCTCAGCCTCCCAAAGTGCTGATATTACAGGCATGAGCCACCATGCCTGGCTTAAATTTATGTTGTTTACAAATTACCCTGTATGATAAATTTTATTGTAGTACCTTGAATAGACTAAGAGACAAATTAGCCTAAATGACCGTAATGTGTGTATCAAGTGACTCTTCTTGGAGGAGGATGTCCTCAACGTAATGCTGTTATCTGTGCTCATGGTGATTGTGGATGTCATTAAGCTGTTGTCTGCAAAGCTTGTGTGTGATGACAAAGCTATGAGGGTACCCCTAGGTAGCCTGGAAAGGTGTATTGTGTTTCTTCAGAGGTAGAGGCAACTGTAGCTGAGGGTCTGTAGAAATAAGCACTTAACAGAACATGCTAGCCAAATGGATGAGAACAAAATATTTACCAGTTCTTGACTGAATAGTATTAGCAATTTTTAATAATATTAGGTGTTATGTATGGGGTCCCTGATAGATGGGACTACCTCCTTAATGTTTGTGGTCATCCATCATAAGGGACTCTTTATAATATTTTTTATTCTCAGATATGAGAACAGGAAGCACTTTGGGCTGTTAAATGGAGACACAGCATGGACAGTCACCATTTTATTGTGTTTTGTGTAACAAAACTTAATTATTGAAGGCCATGTTTCACCCTACATTGGGCCATATTAACTGTCTTAATGGGGGGACTAAGTGATCCCATTTTATCAAGCCAATCTCTAAGTGCCAACAACTTACTTTAATTTTAATGTATTATTTATTATGTGTACCTCCAACTTAGAGCAACCTACCTCCAACATAGGCTATTTTAGAACAATAGGTATGAGTATGGATGATTTAGGCAAGGCTGTAGTTAAAATGAGATACACTTATTTTTCAAAATGGTATCTGTAGTTGTCTTCTCAAGGGCAGAGTGTGTAAATTCAGTGGGATCCTCGTGTAACTGTAATTTGAGCCCTAATGTTAAGTCCATAAATTTTTGTCAGTTCGAGCATTTTTGCTGTTGTTGAAGTTAAGTTAGGACCTATGTTGTAAAGGCACAAAACCAAATCATGCCTTTTTGTCCTTTTGTTATATAAATTTTTTAGTGTAAAAATTAATACATGAACTCCCAATCAAATCAAATTGTAAAATTTTTGTTTTGATGTGGTTATATATTAAATGGACATTATTCATCTATTTGTCATATGTTTACTTTAAAATATTGTGTATATATATGTATATGACATATTTAATTTCCTTTTATCACCCCTATTTTAAAAGTTGGTTCAGGGGCCGGGCGCGGTGGCTCACGCCTGTAATCCCAGCACTTTGGGAGGCCGAGGCGGGTGGATCACGAGGTCAAGAGATCGAGACCATCCTGGTCAACATACTGAAACCCCGTCTCTGCTAAAAATACAAAAAATTAGCTGGGCATGGTGGCGTGTGCCTGTAATCCCAGCTACTCAGGAGGCTGAGGCAGGAGAATTGCCTGAACCCAGGAGGCGGAGGTTGCGGTGAGCCGAGATCGTGCCATTGCACTCCAGCCTGGGTAACAAGAGCGAAACTCCGTCTCAAAAAAAAAAAAAAAAAAAAAAAGTTGGTTCATAAATCCGTAAGTATTCTAGGGCTAGGATTATGTTTCCTAGACCTGGATTCTGCTCAGTACTTAAATTTAAAGCTCCTCTTTTTTTTTTTCTTGGACTTGTGGCTTAGAACTGGAAACTCTGTCAAGGATGACTGAGCCCTGTGCCTCATATGAGAAAATTAAGCTTGTGTTCAGACTGGATGCTGAGGCAACAGACCCTTATAAGCATTCACTGCAGTGAGGAAGGGTGATGAATGTTGGGGTAGGCAGCTGTCAGCCTCGGCCAGAATTATGCCTTTGGGTACTCAAGATCCCTTCACACTCTTCTCCCAAACAGAGAAGTAGCTCCATCCTTGCCAAGGGTTACATTCCCAACATTTTATGTTGAAGTCTCTTTGTGGTACGTGTCCCATAACGTAAAAGAATACTCAGCTTCGAAGCCCCAATATACCACATTGCAATGAGAATTGGGAATCCACAATGGAAATCCCTAATGAGGAGAAGAAAAATGGGGAGAATGTCGCAGGCACTGTTCTACTGCAATTAACCAAGGCCAGTGGGCAAGAAAGCTAAGAATTCCCTGCCCTGGCAGTGGAGGAAGTCTCTTAGCCCATCCGGAGGTCACACGCTGCCCTTCATGGCTCCTGACTTTCTCTCTTGCCTTTTTATCTTGTTCCTTATTTTCTATGGCCACAACTTAGTGGGCATTAAAGAATATACTTTTTTTTTTGAAATTGAAAGCATTTATAGGAGTCAAAAGTGAGAATGGAATGGGCAAACTGGCAAACTACTTTGCCTTGGAAATGCACAGAAATTTAGGGGAGGCAGGAGGTAAAGGGAGAGGAAAGGAGGAAGTGAAACAGTGGGGTGAGTGAGAATGTCGATAACAGGGCTGCCCGATATTCATGCTGAGTGGTGTCTTTCGCCTTTGCATCAGGAAAGTATGTTACACACTACAAAAATGA